CAAATATTCCAATCATTTATCATCTTCACTTTCTAAAAAAATAATTTAAAAGACCAAGTGTGCATGTGTGTGTGTGTGTGAGCGTGTGTGTGTGTGTGTGTGTGTGTGTGTGTGTGTGTGTGTGTGTGTGTTCGCATGCCCTGCGATGTCCTGTCCAGGTCGTATCCTGCTTTGCGCTCATTGTGCAAAATTTTTATTTAATTTTAATTCAGTAAATTTGATAAGAGTTTTCTGTAGCTGCAAGAGTCTTAAACATTGCTTATCATATAATAATTACAGAGAAAGGGTATCTAGTTGACTCTTATGGTATGTAGATTTTAAATATGGTAGTTTTTCTTTATGAACTATTTATTATGAGCTATAACTTCTTAAATAAAGGTGATGGGAACAATACTGAGTTATCACATGCTCAGAAATCAGTGCACAAAATGGGAATGAACTGCAAATCTGACTATTTTTCCACTTAATGATTAGGGTTTATGTGGACCAGTAGCAAACCCTCAGCTGATCAATACTTTCATTATCAACTGTGAAGCAGGGACCAAGTTCTAAATATTAAAATGTGAACAGGCTCAACAGGAAAAAAAAATGAAACTGGCTTATATAATACCCAAATTTCATGCTTGGAAAGCGAAAGAACCCCCTTTAAAGAAAAAAATCACATATATCATAATCTGAATCTTATCCTTTTTCACCTGAAAGGACAGTTAAAATAATTTACCTGCAAAAAGACGGAAACATTCATCAACAAAAAGAACGGAAAAAAAACTGCTGTAGGAATATCCATGAATCTTTGGTTTTGTAGCTGATGAGGTTTTTGTTGTTCTTTTCCATATTCTTGAAAAACTGCATAGGCACACGTTAAAGACAATCTTCAACTTTAAGAGACGTACAATGCTCAGTCTTAAGAAGCAGCCACAGTGGTGCAGCTTCTGTATGTGTTTTACCCTTTGTTATTATCTGCTTCCTGGAAAAAGTCTGAGGCGTCTGGCTAAACAAAGTTCGATTCTCTGTTCCCCTGACATCTGTCTTCCTCTTTCATCCTCTTTGTCGTCGTCATCATCATCATCATTATCGTTAGTTTTTTTTTAAATCTTCATAACAGTTTGTTGCAGAACAATTAGGTGCAGAAAAAAAGTTTCTTTGGTTTCGATTCATCAATAAATAGAAAAGTCTCAAATGTCCATAAAGAGTTCTTAAAGCCTTTGGCTTGCTTCCGATCACAAAAGACGCATTTCAGGATGAGTCTGTTTACTGGCAAAAACTGATAACACTGGTTTGCTTTGACAAGGTGGACTTCATTGGGGAAAGATTGTATTTGTATGTGTTTGGGGCCATACTTGGCTGGTTGGGATATTATATAGTTTTACTTTGAATTAGGTGTTACAACAAAGTAAAGCTTTTATTTTCAATTGTCACTACCTGGAATAGAGACAGGAAGTTTAGTTAGTGAATCAAATGCAGTGCCTGACTCAGTGAGCTCTGCTCATTCTCTCACATTCATATGAATTGGGCTGGCCACACAGACAGAATACTGAAATTCCACTTTTTTAAATTACTTGAATAGACTTTTGAAAGAGTAATCTGAAAGTGATAATTTTTTCCACTTTTTATTGTCAAGGGGCCTAATGCATTCAACTAAATCATTTAAGAGAAACTTAATTTACCAGCTACATCAGCTTGGGTGAGAAGACTATAGCACTATTCTGGGTATTGTTTATATGTGTAAACAAAAAAAAGTAGGAATGTATCACCTTATTTTCCCATTGAAAAGCTAATTAAAATAATTAAATTATTATCACAATACATACATTCTAGTACTAGCTTGCAAATTGCCTTGCCAGAAGCTTTCTGTGTAGGATTTAGGAGAAGTGAGAGTGGGGCATTTGGTTTGCTTAGCTCTGTGAGCTAAGCATTAAAGCTAGGGTGTTCTTCAACCGCTTCATAGAAATGACATCCTGAGTTTTCTAATGTGTGAAGAACATTATGCACCAAACAGTCCTATTTCTATTGCAAAAGAAATGTGCTTCAAGATTGTGCTCACATACTTTGCCAACCACTAAAAAATATTTTCTAAAGAGCACTTAATAGTCGTCGCTGCCAGCCATTGAAGTCAATGTTCGTGTACAGGTGTGTTCCTGATTACAGGCAATACTTAAATCTGTAAGATTTGTGCTTGCATACCTGCCGGTACCTGACACTGAAAATATCAACTCACGGGAACCTTCAGCGGATGCGAACGTTGTTTTTCCCTTCAGATTAAGCCACTGGCTACAATCATACTGCTGTACTACTTGCTACAAAGATTGGGTTTTGTCTTACTTTGGTATCACTGTGAATCAACTGGAGAATCTAAACAAATAAATAAGGCCAATCTAGGGTATGTCTAGGAGTTCAGGAAATCAGGAATTCAGTTTGGAGCTACAGAGGTTATACGCCTAGTTTAGTTTGATCAGTGTTTACACGGCTCAGAAGTGGCATGTAAGATACTCCTGCAGGCATGTCTCAGGCTTCAAAATTGTAATTAAGTGTGAAACACATGTGCAAACTAAACCAGGTAGCTGAAAGCAAGATTAAAACAACATGCAGTCATTATTAACCCTATTATATTGCACTTCAGGAGCTAAACTGCAGTATAAATGGATTATAGTTAGACTGAATGCAACTGAGTGAATCATATTTTTCCTAGGCTTCAGCATTCACAGTTAAAAAAAACTGTCTATTTTAATTAAAAGAAAAGTTCATCTAAATACCACCATCCATAACATGTGTACTAATTGCATGGGGGGGCTAACCGTCCCACGGTCAGAACAGCTCGACACAGTAAAAGCACACAAGAAAGACGTTATGGGCTGGTAGCATTTAAATCACCATACCACATTAAAACAGACTCGGCTCTCAGAGGCGCCCAAGAAAAAGGGTTCGGTTCAGTTCAAAATCCACTGCTTTTTGTGACAGTGAGGGCGGAGGGGACATTTGATCAACTGGGCTGCTTGCGAGTGGCTGTAATCCAGTGCTCAGATGGGTATGTGTGTCTATGTGAACGGTAGCGTCTGATAGCCTTTTGCACCTTTGCCAGTAAACAGCCACCTCCTCAAAAAGCACATTTTAAAAAGTTGTTGTTGAGTGACGTGCCCCTTCCTGGCGCACTGACCCCTCACCCCTCCCCCCCCCCACCCACCCCCCTCGATCACGCTTTGGTACAAGTGCTGGACGCAGAGGACGCTGCTCCTGGGCTCCCTTCGTCCATCCACTTGTCCAGGCTCCGCCGCCGGGCATTCATGAAGAAGTTGCTGACGGTCGTCAGCTCCAAACCCAGCTGCTGAGAGATTGTGATCTGCATCTCCTTAGACGGTCGCTTGTTTTCCTTGAAGATGGCGAGAAGCGTTCGGCGCTGGAGGTCAGTAAAAACCAGACGGGATTTCTTTGGTGTATTGCTCCTGTCTTTGCCTGGATCTTGCTCTTTGCGTTTGCATGCTTTGTCGAGAGGGGGAAAGGGAGAGAGAGAGAGTTTGATTAGTAGACTGAAGGTTGTCTTAACACCAACTTTTATTATCTAGTTGTTCCTGTTATTTTTATTTGCCTAAGGCTTTTATCTTGAACAAATCACATTTTACCCATTAACTGTATATAGCTGGGCATTTTAATCAGAACAATCTGAGTGAAATACTTTGCTCAAGAGTACAGCAGCGGTGTCTCACTTGGGATTTGAACCACAGAGCCTTCCAATTACAGAGGCCCAATAACAATCCTGTCTTTTAGAGGTACTGGTATTTCTAATGTATTGTCCAAGTGTTACATTTGGAGAGATAAGCTGACCTTTCATTCTTAATCAAAAGTCATAATGATGTCTATTGTTATAATTCTAATTTACTGTGTATATGTTATGTATAGTGAGGGCACCGCGGTTCAGACAAAATGGCCGCCTTCCCTGGACCTCATTCCCCAGAAGCCTTTGGGGAACAAGCTGCTGCTGCTGCCCTCAACCACCTGACCTGGCCGAGGAAGGTGATTGGTCAGGTGAGCATTTAAAAATCAGTCAGTGCAGTGCAATTTCTGTTTGAGAAGGCTGAGGTTCTGTGGGAGACTTCAAACAGGACTGACCAAGAACCTGGAACTCAGGAACAAAGGAGAAACCATGAGCGCTTGACTTGGAGTCTGTGTGACTCCAAAGTTTTGTGTTGGTTGAAGGCGGTAAGCAGACTACCTGATCAGTTGCATAGTAAGGGACTCAAGAGGCTTAGCCAGGAGCTGAACCAGGAGCTAAGCTTTTGTTCTAGTTTATTTTATTTTTGATGGTGATTGTGTAACCCCCACTTGCAGATAAAGTGCACAGTTAAACCTTGCGGCTTGTGTTTGGGGTATGTCAGTTGTCCAGGGACCTGCCTAATGATTCTCCTGTTGTGACCCACCCTGGGTGCAGTATAAATCTTACTTATACATAAAATTTCATGTTGGCACACACAGCTCTAGTCTTTGTGTGTGTGTGAACTACTCATTCTTGTGCTAATTTATCTTTGTTGGCACACTGATGTGACATTAATCAACAAGGGCAGTGGCTGTTTTCTGTAAAACATCTGTGACTGTCCAAGACCTCAAGTCTCAGGTTCTTCAAAATATGGGAGCCTTTAATTTGCTTTAGATTATGAATCAGCCAATGCATTTTTGCTAGATGTAAGTGAATTGCTTAACTGGGCATAAAATGAGAAAGATCATCCCTTTTCATTTGGGTTTGCAATTACTGCATGTAAGATTTTCACTGATGTATATACAGTATGTTTGATTGTATTGCTAATTTGTTGAATAGAGATAAATTTACAGAGAAATTGTGGTGCTTTGTTGCCATTGCATTGTATATTTTATAGTCTTAATTGTAAATTGACTTAATCTAAGCACCTATAGAATTATACAGAATTTAATCTACTTACTTTTCAGTAGAAATATTAAGAATAGGAAATTGAACATTGTGTGGATTACAAAATGCCACAAAAACATTCAGAAATGGGCTTTTTAGGTGTGTTCAGTAAAAGTCCATTCCATTACCTTTTAGTCTTCCTGTTTAGCTTATACCTGTCTTCTAACTTATACATTAGGAAGCAAGAAGTCACCATGCAAAATACACACAGATCAATCCCTAAATATCAAATTGAAAGTAATGAATGGAATATTTTGTTTTGACTTTTTAATCAAACTAAAACTCTTATTTGCAGATGGTTACAATTCATTTTTGTGAAAAATAAATATTGTGCCAAGAATGTGGTGTCTGTATTAGCAACTCTTCCATGGAGATCAGCTTGAAAACAAAGAATGGTGGGCAATTATCTTAGATCAATTTAAATTACACTTCTGTGGCCAAGAGACTGAGATTATATAATTTCTTTAAATCCATAATTTTTCAAATACTACATCTGTTTCTGATTTGAGGAGTTTCTAAAACATTCTAAATAATTCTTTCTGTATAATGCTCTTTATATAACTTTTTATATAAAACTGCCTTTACCTCACCTTGACAGTAAATCACAATTCCAAAAATTGTGCAGTTTCTGCCCCTTTGTTCTCTCTTGTAAGGTTTCGTTAATTGTTATGGTGTGGAAAAGATAACTTACTTACTTAATTATATGATTGCCTGAAAGCCATGGCATATTAACTACGTATTTGGGAGATCCTCAATGCATGAATATCTTTCATGTAATGATATCAAGTGGCTACCCATGAAAGATACCATTGCACGTTTGAAAAACCCTTCTTCTGCAATAACTGATTTGTTAATATTATATGCCTTTACGCGACCGTAGATTTTGGGTGTAGCCGACCCCAAAGTTTAGTTTGTTCATTGAAATTATGCTGATTCTCAGTTATTGACAACTGTTTTTAAACTACCAAGATAACAAATAAATGGATTAATATGGAGCAAACTCAAGTAAATTGAACAGCCTCAGAAACAAATTAAATGTTGTAAATAGGCAGGTTGATAACTTTGACACCAATGTAATTCCTTGCCCATGGATAGCCATTTACACTTTTAAACCGTTGAGTCTTTCTTGTGATTTTCCTTATCAAGTGTGGCCATGGGAGTTTGTAACTTCAGGCTATTTCTGACCCTTGTGTTGAAAACAGCAATCTCATTGGTATCCATCATGCATGACAGACACACTATGAAGACTAACAGACAGTAAACTTAGAATCCTGCAGACTTTATAATTATTGAATCATTAGACTGGGTTACTAGAAAATAAAACCTTTCTTAGACTTAAGGGGAATAATTTTCATGTATTGTCACCGATTGTCTTGTGTGTGTGCGATCACCCTTTCAGTGTGTTATTGATTCTGGGGCCAGGACAGCTCACAAACCTCAGTTGCTGGTGTCAGTTGTGACCCTGACTGGCTGACAGAAGGGTGAAATTGCAAATACAGTAGCAGCAGTGACAACAAGCAAAAATAAAAGATTCTTTGAACTTTTCCAACCGTTCCTCATTGACATCTGTCTGCTGCTTTTGAATTAGACCAGTAGACATTTCGCCAAATTGATTCATCATCGGTACTATTTAGCTTTTAGTAACTGCAGTTTATATGCCAAACGCTCTTTCTAGCCTTTCTGGGGGACAAGTTATGTTTAAATTATCTCTATCTTTACTTCACCTGTTTCCAGGCGACTGTGTTACCTGGACCTAAAGCAAATTTGTTTTTCAAGTCTTCAGATTTAATACTAAAGAAGTGAGCAAAAATCAGAGTACAATGTTAACAATTCTGCATGAGGTTAAGATGAGATAACATGAGCTTTACAGATAACCATGTATTTAAATAAATACTTGTTTCAGAAGCCATCTCCATAAGAGACTGAAGCATTACTTTTAGATATTAAAATCACATCAAAGATGGCAAAGCTAGCAATGAAAGTAATGAAAGCATCCCTTTTCCATCTCCTCTGTCCGCAGTCGCTACTTAAGACAATGAAAATTAAATATGCTGTTCCTCACAAAGATGTGAAAATTTCCTTACAGTGAGCTTTTGATTTAGGTCTCTGCGATCAATATAGCACCTCCAGTGTGCTACTGTCTGGGTTACATACCAATGACACTGATCAAGGTGAAATGGTGGATAACTCAATGCTCAGCCTTACAGAACTGAACATTTTCAGCTTTCTATAAAGCCTTCCATTTAGATTGACACCTCCTGCTTCATCAACACCTTGTCATGGACTGGGACATATAGTGGGTCATACGCTGGATTTAGTATTTCCGTATGAGTCGTTTTAAGAATTGTACCTTATTCTAATCAGAACTGTATCTCAAATGATAATGTAGGAAGGGGGGGAATGTAAAAACATTTCTGAAGTGATATTCAAAAGGAATCAAAATAATGGAGAATTAAGATTTGAATTACAAATTTAAGGGTGTGTCCTTATCTTCACTCTTGAGAACGTTCTCCTTTCTCACCCACTTAAAGAGAAATGACAAATTAATCTATTTTAAATTGTTTTTCATTAGTAGCTTATATTAATTATGTAGTGCAAGTACAATAAAAGCAAGGCTGAAAATAGCTGAAATAACCTTGGAGCTCTTGATGGGGAAAAATAAGGAGAAACATTTCAGATAAACTGGGTTACACAATGTCCATCTAGCACTATAACTTCACAATCCTCATTAAGCTCTCATTTTATTATTAATATATATGTTTAATATATTTATGATCAATTATAATTTCTTACAACCATCTTCAAATTAATCTTTTTGCTGCCATTAAGTGCACAGTTGGTTGTGAAGAAATAACACCGAATATTTTTTTTTCTCAGCTCCCTATTAACGGCAGTCCAGCACATTTGTCCTATAACATCTAGAATACTTTTTTTCCTGTAAAATATTCCAGCATTCAGGGAATTAAATTCAGTCTCATGCATCATGAATTACATATTTTAAGTGAAATATGTACAGTAAATGTCAGTTCCCACTGCATTTTCAAATGAAAAAGTAAGGTTTTCAGCTAGTTAATTTAAGACTCTCATCTGTTATGCTTGATTAGTTATGTATAATTATTTGTAATTTTGTGCATTTTTAAAAACATGTACAAAAATATAATATTCAATAAAAAGCAAATATTTACAAATTCTGAAAATGCAGTGACAAACAACGTGCATATCAATATTTTATTGGCATAAGATTAAATATTCATACACTTTCTTAAATCCTATAAACCACTGTTACTATGTTTACTTGCTTATATGAAATCACATGTATTTCTCTGCTCTTTAAGTACAGCATAAACACAGCATTATTCATTATGGAGACATGATGAAGATATCATTTAACAGCACTGTGGGGGGAGGAGACAAACTTTTCAAATGGTTTACTGTGATGTCTTTCAACAGTCTTCCTCACAGATAGATGCCCTGTGCCACTTGGGTTGTATGCCTGCCTTGGTGCACTCCAATGAAGGAAAGCCTCAGAAATCAATTTGATTACCTCTCTGAATTAAGTATG